AGCACTCAAATTAAAATAAAGATAAATATCATAAAAAAGAATTAAACATTTTAATTTTATGATTTAACGTGAAGGATGTCGAAATTATCATGGTTTTCCGTCTTAAATGTTTGATAGTGCTGCCATCTAGTGACCTTAATTAAAACTATAAACACACGGTCATATTCTGAAAAAGAATCTTCTTTTACCTCTCGATAGATAATTATGCTAATCATGGAGCTGACTGTTTTATTTTTTCATAATGATGAATATTCACATGAAAAGAGTCATGATTTTTAAGAAGTTAGAATTGATAGTTTTGTTTTGTTATTACGCTGGCGTGCAAATTGAATTGGGGAATACTAATTAGAAACTAATGAAGATGAAAACTTGTAACTGTATATCTGTCAATGGATAAAATATGAAAGGAGAAGGAGAACAATAGTTAAGATACCCTCCTCCTACCACACGTATATACATATACACTGTTGTGCTTTTCGACGAACTATCTAAGTACTCGTCTGCCACAGACGTAAGTCCTCGATTATCTTGCAACTGTTTTATTGAGCTGCATTATTTTCAATTATTAGGCATTGCTTCTGCTTATTAGTCTCTGAAATAAAATGGTTCCTGAGTGACTTTGATAGAAGAGGCGACGGAGCAGAAGGAGATCTAAAAGCTCTTTAAAAGTTTAATGTTTAATCAGCGTATATTTGAATTATAATGTCAATCAATGCATAATAAAATCTGTACAAAAGCAGGGCCGTATTTGCAAAACTGAAGGCCCGAAACATATTCTTTTACCACTCCCCATCCCCATCGCCCCCCCTTTTTTTTTTTTTAACATCATAACTGTTACTGATTGGAAACAGTATTTCAGGCAATGTAAATTTCAGACAGAGTATTTCATAAAATAATTTTATAATTCAGTATTTTTTATACAAAGTTATTCAAACAAAAAATGCGTTTCACATTTTTGTAAGTTTTGTTTCCATGGTTTTAGTTTCCTATAAAGTATTGTAAGGTAGGTTTGAATTTTATAACAGTTATTTTAATTTGGAAAAACCTTTCCTATCCGTTCTTGTTTCCATTTACAACTCCCAACCAGAATGAGTTTTTAGAATCGCGTTGAATTTAAATGAGTTAGAAAAAGTATTTAAGAAAGGTTCAACTAACTTGGTTAGAGAGTGCTAGGAATATCTGTGTTTGCCTTCGGGCTAAGTCACTCTTGAAGCTGCTACGCTTGGCCGTATTATTTATTACCTGCCTTTTGATATTCGCGGGCTAGTTTAAATAAAGGGCCAACTACGTTAGATAATTGTGTTTAGCTTCGGTAAGTTTCGTTTAGTTTGTTATAGTTTAGTTTTTTATTTCTTATAATGAGTTAAAGACTGAGTAGAGGCTTCTGTAATCCCGAGAAGAGACCGACTGTGGTTCTTATTTGAATAAAAGGGTAATTTAACCCTTCTCGAGTCTACGTTTTAGTTGTTTGAACTCGCTACATAGTGCACTAGCTTACTCGACATTCAGCTTAAACCAAAAGAGTGAGGAACTCTACAGCAGTGCTCCGCAACCTTTTCTCACCTGCGACGCACAAAAAATCTTTCTGGAATTTCGTGGCACACCAAAAGCTAATGTATATATGTATTGATTTATACACAAAATTTACAATAAATTTTTGTTTTTAATTTGAAAAATATACAATTATAAAACCATAACATATTTATTTATATGCAATCATAATAATTATCAATGTGATACCTGCGCTTAAAAAAGGTTATATATTTTTGAATTCCGAGTTATCAAGGAAGTGCCGAAAAAATTCAAATGCTCACACACTTACAATCACACACACAACCACACAACAGTGAAATATATAAAAACATTTAAAATAGACATTATTAAGGAAAAAAAATTGTCATTGTGTATTAAATACATGATAAAAAATTGCAAAATGTCAAATACATGTATTTGATTGCGGCACACCTAAATCCTACTCATGGCACACCAGTGTGCCGCGGCACACCGGTTGCGGAGCACTGCCCTACAGTATAAAATTACACATTTTAAACTAGGATTTTCTTTTTTTCAGAAAGAATCTGGGGAAAAAAAAAGGAAAAACCTAAAAAATACTTAATTTTAATTATGTTATAGCGATATGACCAAAGTAAGGTTATTAAATTTTTTTATCAGTTCAGTAATAAAATATATGAAAATAAATTTAAATAGAAATAAAAAATTCACTTTCTTTTGACTCTTTTAACTTCTGATGGGCCGTTCCGTGGTATTTATGTCCTAGCAATCTTAAAAATTAATTCTGGAATTTTTGAAAAATTATCGTGTCATATAACTGATCATAATTTGATAACCTGTAAGTTTAAATGAAAAAGACTGCAATTCTTTATATTAGCCCCAAAAGTGCTATTAATCCCGAAACCCGACTTTGTGCTGTTTCACTTTACTGCGTGGTTTCACTTTTTATTCGAGTCTGTTGCCATTCGGAAAAATATTAAGTATTATTCTTTTATATTTAATCAGTCTGTTACTAAGTAATAAACTAAACTATGTAAATGCACTAGATGCAGTTCTTAAGAATATCATTATTTTTCCTTTGTAATGTGGTTGATTTGAATACAAGTGCATTTAATTTATGATATATATAATTAAAAACATCATATATTTTTACAGAATTGCATTACATATTTTTTTACTTTTCAAGTATACAGAATATATATAACATTCCCATGCTAGTCTAAATACATATTTATCTAATATTGTATAAAGAGTTTCTCTGTTCCGCCTGGGCCATCTGTAATCTCTACTGTCAAACCATAATAAGATTTAAAACAGCCGTTTTGGGATATCATTAAAATCTGTACCCTTTCAGATTTTTTTTATTTATATTTTTCCGAATTAAGTAATTAAAATTCAAATAAAAAATCTTTTAGTAAATTGAATCTGATAGAAAATGTTCAGAAATAGATGGAAATTTACGACCTTCGCAATATATTAAATACTGAAATATAAATTTTGACATTTTACTTTTGTTCTCAATTTTCTATTGTAGAACCTCTACAGCTTACGTATTTAAAATACTATAGAGAGTTTGGAGGCCCAATGCATGTGCCTGGTTTGCATCTGTGGAAATGAGGCACTGCACAAAAGCCTAAGTTTTTTTTTTTTTTTTTTTTTTTCAACTTAATTCTTCAAATGAATGTGTAATATTAAAAATTATTTTTCTCACAAATATTTAAATTTTTGTGGGAAAAGTTGTTTATAATGTGTAATTTAACATATAAAATTTGAATTATACTAATACTTTTTGTGTGTTAAAGTTAGGTTAAAATTACACATCTGCTAATAATTTGTTCTTTATAAAGAACAAAATAAAAGATAATAGATTTACTATAAATATATAGTTTAATATTTAATAAAATATGTTTTATAAACTGGGAAAACTGTAGGTGTTATTAATGAATGACAATTATTTTATTAATTATTCAGCTGTTCTCTCAAAATATATTGGAATATAAAAATTCATTGCTAAGCTTCCATCAAACAATTATTCTGTATCGAAGTATATAAACTTTAAAAACATATTCATTAGAAACATATTCTAATAATGCTATTAATTTAATATTGATGTAAATGCCTATAAAAAGTTATCAGTAAGGTATGCTATGAATCACATAAATTAAATGTATTTATAAATCGTATCAGTCAAACATTATTTTCATAAAATAAAAGTAAAGATATAAAAAGTATGTATATTCCCTTAAAATTAATTCTGGGATTGAGCAGACTTAATTAAGATACAATGACACGTCGAACAAATATTAATTTAGAAGTCAAACAAAGATCAGCGCGTTTGCTGTGAAAATTTGAAAATATAACGCTGATTTTTGTTGTTTGACTTCTAAATTAATATAAGCTGAGTTAAGTAATACATTCTTTTAATTTAAAAGATATATCAATGATCGATAAAGGGTGAAATGACAATATCTCTTAGAATTTGCAATTTTCCATGACGCGTGAGTGATAAAAATGATCGTATGTCTGGTGAAATGGTAACAATTTTCAGACTGTACGAGTGATAAAGCCATGATAAACGTAACTTAATGTAATAGTGACAAAAAAAAAAAAAAAAAAAAAAAAAAAAAAAAGATTAAATATAGGCATTTCTAATGGCTAAATAAGTATGAGCTAATTTTTTTTTTAATCTTTTCTATTCGGGGGGGGGGGAGGAATTCGTTATTAAGATTCATAATTTGGCTTATCTGAGAAATTTGCATTTCTCTGTCATGCAAGGTTTAGGCGATTAGTATTCGGTGTAAAGAACAGTTAACTGCCGAATTACGAGCGTAAAGTCAGGGGCGATATCCACGATAATTAATGTGACAACAACTAAACAGTAAAATAAATAATTCTTTTAAAAACCTGGAAGGGTCAAGTTTTGTTTAGGTTTTTTTATACTCTCATTGAGCTCACAGTTTGTCAGTCAGCTTTTAGACTTACTCCTCCTAATACAGCTTTTTTTTTTTTTTTTTTTTTTTTTTTGTTTTTAACTTTATTATTAAATACCGCTTTCTTCGCATTTATGGCACATAAAATTCAACAACAAAAATCACCTAATTTTTAAAAGCAGCCTTTTTTTAGATGTTCAATTCATCCTTTCAGTGTTCATTTTTCTTAATATTTTTAATTAGCAATAACATTTAATACAACATCCTTTTATTTGTCTTGCTCTATGTTTTTTAATATACATATTCGCTATATTATCCGATTTATTCGTTCTCGGTAAATGCGGAGTGACTGTTTATTTTCTAGCAGAAAAATGCTTCTATGTATATAGAGAGAGATGTAGATGGTCGGATAAGCATGCCCTGATAAAAAATTCCAAGTGCATGCGTTGTTGCCAAAAGAATTAATGTAAGAGAGACAACCGTTTGTTCTGAGTATTTATATTGATGTCTGCGAATGTTGAAGATATTTTGATTACTGATCTTTGGATTCCATTTCAGGTCACGGTGCGCAACCCAACCAACAGCGTGACTCTTGGGGAGGATGGCGTCACAGCGCTGCCCCAGACAGAGGAGGTATTGTCAGCTTGGAATCTCTGGCGCCCAAACTATCCAACAGGTATGCAACTGTCCATTTTACAAGATGTCTATTTTCTCTTGCAAAGCATTCCCCGAGATACACATTCATAGAATGGTTTAAGTGGGATTGTGAAATGCATATTGTTGCCCTCTTTTTTCAAAAAGACCAATATCTTGAGGCGTCTTCATGAATGTCTGGTTGAGAATTGCGAAGCCATCAGTTATTTAGTGTTCTTTCGTAGAATGATGGTTAATGAAATATGCTAAAATGTGAACACATATTTCCTTGAGCAGGAATGCATATATATCTATATAAAATGTATATTTCCCTCTATATATATATTTCTGTCTTGCTCCCTATTATATGTATAAATTTTAATTTAGATCAGAATGATACATAAGAATGTGAATAAGTTAAGCAACTCGAAATAGAAATGTTTCATGCCCTGATGCATGAGTCACTAATGCAGTATATATCTGTGTTTACTAAGATCCTTCCTTCATGATTAATTTTAAGAAATAAATATGCAGGTGAATATCCGATGAATATCATTTTGATTAGAATTCGTTTGATTTTATTTGAATGAAGGATATTAATACCGTATTTGACTATGGTATTGAATGGTAAGTCAGGAAAAAGTGAATAATACGTTGTTGCCTTTTGGTTTTCAGTTATACTATTGAGCAGTACTTTAAAGTGGATATATGGCGAAACTGAAATCATTCATCTAGATGTGCCTGTAGTAATTAGTGTTATTATGAGTTAGATTTTGTTAGTTATGAGTTTATATTCATGATAATTATCTTAGTGGATAACGCAGTTATGAGTTTACATTCACGATAATTACCTCTGTGGTTTATTTAGTAAAACCGCGTTATACTCTATTAGTATTCTAATTAAATGCCTTCTCTTCATTCTACTATTTCATTTATCAAAATACTCGATTATAAGACGAATTTTAAAAACAAAAATATAGCCCCCCCCAAAGAAAAGGTCTCAGATTATATACGATACCTAACTGTAAATACTATATATGTATCTGTGTGTGTTGTGTTTACTCGAATATATACCCAATTTCGGCCTGGGACGTACTTTTCAAAATTCCTTATTACAAGTTGCTTTCCTTTTCGGTAAAACTTATATGGTGAAAAAATTTGTTATATAATATATTATATATATATTTTAAAGATTGCTATTTTCTTTCGTCTCTGGAAGGAGTAGATTTATTTATGCAATCGAAGCTGCTTTAGCAGTTGATTACAATATTTTTTCAATATCCTAAATTTTTTTGCAATTTTAAAATTTACTTTTTGTTTGTATACGAGTATATGTGCACTGATTATCATTAATTAAGAAAATTCACAAAAATGATAAAAGGTTACATGTAGAATTTTATGAAATTGATCCACAGTGTACAACACATAGTAAGGTATAAAATAACATGAAATTACGAGACAATTATGGTGCTAATGTATGAAATGAACAAATCAGATGTATCAGTTTAATATAGGAATATTACCTTCAGTATGGTGTATGATCTCCTCTAGAAGCAATACAATACATACAGCGATGCGCGATGCTTTCATTTATGCAATCTATGAGTTACGTTGGAAGTGAGAACCATTGATGTAGCAAAGCAGTTGCAAGCGTGGCAAAGGTCTCAAAAAGAGGATTGAGAGCAGCTATACGTTTTCCTAAAGCATCCCAAGCATGCTGTTGTTTGCTACTGAAGATATCCACAATGTGAGCCCTGTGCAGTCTAGCGTTGTCGTCCTGTAGCAGGAAATCATCACTTATTGTCCTGGCATAAGGGCACGCATAAGCATCAAGGATGTCATCTCTATAGGCCTGAGTATTCATGGTTCCACGTGGAAAGACATGGAGGTCTGTGCTTCCGCCCAAAAGATACTATCCCAGACACGGACACTGCCTCCTCCGTATGCACCTCTTTCACGGATGTTTGATGGATGATAACGGGTTCCAAGTTCCTTCCAAATCAAATAACGCCTACTTTCGCTCTGGAGTCTAAACTTGGGCTTATTCATAAAAAGAAACAGTCCTCCATCGATAAATTCTCCAGTGAACATGTCGCCGAGATGACATCCGACCTAAGCTGGGACTAGCTCAGAAGACTAAAAACAGATCTGTGTTTCGATCTAAACCTCTCATAGGTTCCTATTAATATCATTATTCAAAGGGAAGACGCTTCCAGAAAACTTGCTTCTTGGGCTTCAGAAACTAACTTCCAGGAAACGTCCTGAATGTCGCCAAGTAGAGGAGAAATCGTCAGATGTCGTCAGAGATTGGTGAGCATTCTCTCCCCTCAATGTCTTCACTCTATTCGTCCTCATAGTCACAAAATCAGTCGACTGATAATTAAAAGTTAAAAAAAATTATATATAAATAAAAAAATAAAAAAATTGCATAATTTTAATGTGTGCTTGTGTAAGTTGATTTGCACTCAAGGTGGTAACTCGTCGATTTTTTGAAATGTGTAATTCTCAGGGAAGTACTAATAAGTACTTTAAAAACAGTTTAAATATATTGTTGTTATGTTTAAGTTGTTATCACTTGTCTGAGAGTAACTTCAGAACAAATCTAAGGATTTTATCGTTGCGAAGAGCACAGAATTGCGTCTATCGTTGGCATGGGCGTCTTATAAGCGGCAGTTCGACTTCCAGCAGTTCCGTTCCAATTTTGAAGGAGAATCTTCCAGGAAATGGAACCCCTCTTCCCTTACCACCAAACCACTCGAGAGAGCTTTCGGTTTGTCATGTATTTTAAATATCTCCATGCCATGAAGACTTTATACACTTACAAACATCCAAACTATCTGGAAGATTTTAGCACAAGCACATCGACACGGCAGTTAGCATCTCTAATTGCAGTGACCAAGATGGCAAAATATAAATTTACGAAATTAAATACGAATACAGAATAATACAAATCATACGATTGTTTAAGTATATGATGCAACTAGCTTGGAACCTTAAGTTGGGAATCAAGGGATTCCTGGTTCAATCTGAGTTGAGTAAAGGGTGAATCGAGACGTTGCCTTTTAGGCGAGAATAATGAAAGGTAGTATGCGCATATTCGCCCTGTATTTTTAGCAGATTGCTCTAGCCATTTATCGAGCAACCCAAATCAGAGCCTAAGCAAAACGCAACCATTTTTTTCCTACCTTTTCTTCTATTTTACGTAATAATCATTTTGATTAAAAGTCTTTGGAATCTTACTGGTAGATGAAATCATTGGCTGTTTTGTTATTTTATCATCTTATAAAGAGACATAAACATATTTAACAAAACATAATAAAACATATTTAAACAACATAAAAAAGCACCAGTTTTAATTCATTCATGACTTTACGTAGTCAGTTAAACTTACATAGAGGTGTTTTCAACTGTTCAAACATTGCAGCTTTTGGAAGCACCGGAAAGAATCCTTTCTCTGGAAAAACGTGGCTTTAGATTCAGCATTGTTTGATCTAGAAACATTTTATTCATTCACCGTTGAACGGAAAATTTCTCTGAAGTACTTTGACGGTTCGGATGTACACGTAAAAATTGCGTAGATTCATGTATTTCCGCTCTATTAACATGGCGCCATTTCACGTTTTATTTCAGTTGCTTGCATTAATAGAATAAGCAATAAAACAGAAGTTTTGAACGGATGGTTTTTCGGAAATGCATAGTGAATTCGAGGTTGTGGTGCCTGTGTCACTAAACTGGATTAGAGCAATTGAATCTTATTCAAATTCGTAACTTCTTAAAAAAAAAATATAGAATTATATCCATTTCTGGAATTCAAGTCCAAGTTGTAAATTCGTCTTCGTTTTTAAAATCCAATTCATTTTTGTTCCTAAGCTTTCATGTCCGTTTTGAAACATTAAATTCTGAATTCCTTTTCCAACCAGAAAAACGGTCGTTCAGGAAGACTTCAAGTAGGAAAAGGTGATCCAGCTGTTAATTTTGCTTTCAAAATTCATTGCACTATTTCATATTGAAATTCAATTCAAACAAAAGCTTAATTTTGCTAGTTATAAAAGCCTAAGTTAACTCGCACCTGTCGCCTCTTTTACCTTAACATTCATAAAGCTCAAAATCTGTAATTGAATTGAATAAGAATATCGGGTAATATATTTTCATCATTTACGTGTTAAAAGTTATGTGGTGTTTACTTTCAACTTATAATATTTTATCATAATGATGTTAATAAGGATAAATGAAAAAATTTCCGGTAAAATGATTAATTTTAATGGCAAAATGTATACTAAGTATGATTTTAAGTTAATCCTTGATTGTGCAGCTAATTTCTTTTCAATATAACATTTCATGGGAACAATATACTTATTATTTTCTGCTTTCTGTGTGAAACTTCTTCCGAGTTTCTACCTTCCTCGCCTCCAAAGTGAAATTCTATTTATTTTATCTTAGATATAATCAATTTGAAAAGCAACGTTTTTCTCTTGTTATTTTTTTTAATTACGAGACCTCCGAAAAGTGTGAACACACTTAAAGAGATCATTAAGTGAGTGCTCATCAACAGACGGTTTATTTTGAAATTTTAAATAAATCTACAGGAATGAATAATATTTTTGTTAATTGCCTATTTTTAAATTTAGCTTCATCGCTGCAAGCATTATTTTTTCTTGGAAACTATGCATCCTCTCTCTGCATATCTTGCCAAATGTAATTTACAAAAGACTTCTTTTGTCCGGATCATCTTCGCTGAGGGCATGGATTGTTCTTGGGGTGTAACATTTCGAATGACAGCTATTCAAAATATGATGGACACGGAATTTTGAAAATCCTCTCTCAAGATTCATTTCACAATTTTTATTCAGTTCTAACGAATTCCATTAAATTTTTATGCCTTCTGGGCCTTGTTGATGTTTGCTATCATCCAGAGTGTTTCTGTGGACATTCTGAACAGTTCCATCTGCTTCAAACTTATCTCTAATTCGAGAAATGCAAGTCGTCCAATAGATGTGTCTCTTTGAAATTATCTATCGAACTGTCTTTTCGCATTAACTGTATTTTTAAGCATCTTGAACCACTTTAGGATAATTTTCCTTTGTTCAAAGCTCAGTATAACCTCATGCATTATTTTTATTCGGTTAAACCCGAAAAAAGTGATTTATCAGCTGTTAAAGTCTGTATGCTCTTTTTTGGACGTTCTGCGTTAAATTGTGTGTTTTTCAAAATAATAATTTTAACTCACTAACAAATGATATAAGGAAGAAATGTTCAAGGAGTCGCGTTTTGTATAAGGCAAAGAGAGGAAGGAAAATTTTTTATTCGTCTTCGAATTTTAGAAAAGACAAAATTTAATTCGAAAGACGTAGTATCGAATACTATATGAATATAAACCTTTTGTCTTTACATCACATTCCAAAATGTTGTGTTTCCTATAACTGTTTTCATGAAATAATAAAATTAATTATTTTCTTGTTCTTGCATATGTGTGGGCTATAAAAGATTTGTTGATCAGCAAATGTAAACAAGATTTAGTGGCTTATATTGTACATATTTTGCTCATAAAATGCAGAACTCCAGATGTCTGGAAAAACCCCATTCGAATATTTGGAAAATCAGAATAATTTAGTTGTATTTGATTTTGTAACTTAAATACACCATCTCCTGGACAGAATGCGGTATTGGTTCGATGTTGCGTATAATAGACATTCCCCTCTGCCAACACCTTCTAGATCAGTGTTTCCCAACGTGGGGCCCACGCCCCAGAAGGGGGCAATTCGATTGTTATGGGGGGCAGTTTGAAAATGGACTCATCCAGAGTTTAAGGGAACAAGGGAAGTTCAAATTTCACAATTTCTTCAAGAAGTCAAAATTTTTCAATAATTCTCTATCTACTCCCAAAAATAAAGAATAATGATGTATACGTAAAAAAGTTTTTAAATTGCGGTACATTTTAAGTATTTTATAAAGAATTTTCGCTATAGACATGGGCATTTAATTGCTTAGAAATTTCTTCCTAAAACCTATCATTCAAGTTTCTTTCGTGAACATTTCAATTTTCGAATATTAAAAATTACGTATATGCTAGGGGGAGCATGAGAATTTTAGAGAGGATTAGGAGGGGCATAGCACAAAAAGGTTGGGAAACACTGTTCTAGATAGTTACGCCGACGATGGCTTTCGAGACGGTGTTGCCTCTGCCGGCTCAGAATTGACATAGCAGCTCAAAAAGATTCCATCGATCTGAACTCATTGATGTCGATGTCGATCCTGTGTAGATACTGTAAAAAGTAATTAATTTAATCAATTTCTTGTCCTCTTGATTAGACGGCTTTTATTATAATAAATCTTATCTGTATGTCAGTATCAGTTCTATGCATATATCGATCCAACTTCATATCCATACTTTGCCTATACCGACCTTACGTAGTATTGTTCATATGCCTTTGGAGTCTCTATACAGGCATTAACCTTCTTAACTTTTTCCAAATGCCGGGTTGTGGTCCGGCTCTATATCACGAAGGCAAAAGTGTCGGGTAGCAGTTAAATTTAACGAAATTACTAACGTTACAAATTATATTATCGTTTGTTAATAGATGGGTCGAGATTTAGTAATTTTATACTTTCATAGATGACATGTGATACTAAATCTTATTAATTTATTTCTTAGCTTAGTTTTTATTTGATTGTTATCTGCAGTGCCACCAAAGCTTGATTAAATTTAACTGAAGTACGGCAACAGACCCAACAAACGTTTTTGTATGAGAGCGACGACACCGAATGTAGACTAAAGCGGTAAACATTGCTAGGGTCTACTGCCATATTCCAATCAACTTCTGGCGACACAGCTTTATTCGCACTCTGAGTGATATTGTTAGTTATTAGTTGAGATATTGCGTGCATTTTTATACTTAATATACTATTAATTATAATATTATATCACATCTAATTATCAAGGGTTAAATGATTAATAAAACATAAGCAAAAAAAAATATGTGCATGTTATAATCGATAAACAATCAAATGATGTCCAGACAGGAACAATTTTGTTGATGGCACTATTAACAAACAGTTAAGTGACGTTCAGCCAAGCATAAGTTCGAAGAATGGTACTAACAAACGGCAGCATGAGGTGTTATTCACTACACATACAAAAAGTGAAAAAAGCACCCTGGATTCGACAGTATTCTGATGATTATGTAGAATGTGGTTTTATGAAAGGTGCTGAAGAAAAATAATTGTGTATCAGCAAATAAAGATGAAAAATCATTTAAAAAAATCATGCTTATGAAAATCTTATAAAAAATCATGCTGTGCGGCCTTAATGAGTTCATAAGATTTTTCAAGTTGAAGCGCACTTGGACTTCATTTAACCCGGCAACTTCAAAACCATTTAACCAGGCACTTGGTTATCTGAAATGCAATAATAAGTAGATGGATTTCATTATAAATAAGAAGAAAGAATTAATAGCTAGAAAACAGACTATGTCTTCGAATTTTTCTGAGGGGGGCTTTGTGTGAAAAATCTAGTTATGTCTTACTATGAAACATCCTAATTAATTGTTGAACTTGGATATCTTCATACATTTTCAAAAACGTTTATGGTTCCTGCAGTAAAAATGTTGTATATGTAATAAAAAACAACAAAACCAGATAAATATGTTATCTCTATAATAGCACAGAGAAGCAGCAGGTAAATCGAAGAAACTGTTGTAGCTTCTTAAACTCAGAACAGTTTTTCCCCTCTTCAAGTTGATGAAAGTTCAAACATATCAGACAATGTTAATTTAATATGTTTTGTGAGACATGGTGTTTAGAGTACAACTAATGAAGGATTTCTATTTTGAAAACCACCAAATACAAGAACAACAATAGAAGAAGAAATTTATAATTTTATTGGTAGTACTTACATTAGTTAAAATGGCATTCACTACAAAGAACTTTATAAATTTTATAAAAATCGTCCTTTGAATTCCAGGTTATTCAATACATTATGTAAAGAGATAGGCAGTGAATTTAAGCAACTTCTTTTACATTGCGAAGTACGATGGTTATCCAGAGGAAATGTTTTGAAGAGACTATTGAAAGTGAGGGAAGACGTTTTAAGGTTTTTAAACCAGCATACTCCATCGGCTTAAGATGCAGTGTTTGAATTTAAAGACAGTTTTAGTAAATCTTTCGTTGCAAGGAAAAATGTAACTGCATTTAAAGTGCAAGAGAAGATGGAATTTGCAATGAAAAAGCTCAGTTTGTTCATCCTTCGTGTGGAATCAGGAAATTAAACTGCTTCTTTGGAGGTAAATTAAGTGCTAAAAAATTACAGTGTTCTGATGAAATTTCATTTGCTGTCAAAGAATATCAGATAAGATTGCAGAAAAATCTGGAAGAAATTTTTCTGCAATTCATAGCAACACAGCACAGATTTAATAAAATAATAATAATAATAATAATAATAACCTCTTTCCGAATTAATATAAAATCTGAGACTGCGTAATTGAATTGTCTTGTGATACAGTGCTTAAAGACAGCTTCAACAAAATACCATTGATAGATTTTTAGCTATCCTGTCCTCAAAAATATTTATTTTTGGCACAAGCGGCAATTAAATTTATGCCTTTTGTTACGATTGACAAATGGGAAACAGCCTTCTCGACACTTCTTATTCTAAAAAATAAATACAGAAATCGATTAGATGTCGAACTACATTTAAGAATAAAGTACCTGAAATTATTTACCTGAAAGTTCTAGTAAACGAGAAGGAGCGTCATACTTTTCATTAAAACTGTTTTATTATTGTTATTATTATTTTTTTTTTTTAAATCATTTCTTTACTTTCTTCCAAAAAGGGAAAATATTTAAGCATTAAAATGTATTTAATTCACCAGTAAGCCATAAACATTTTTATTGGGTCATGAAGAAAAAAAGTTTGAAATCCCTACTGCTATTCATTATTACGACGTTATCTTAATTTATTTTTTATCATGTTGATCATAAATACATATTTAGTCAGTGTTTGCAGATTATATTTGAAGGGTTTCTAATATAGCATTGGTCCAAAAGTTGAAGGACACCGGACAATCTAGAAAGGGTTGCTGAGGTTCTCTCGCACCCAGAAACAAGTCTCCGAAAGAGGTGGTGTGGTGTATTTTAATTATGGCAAAGCACACGAGGGCTATCTGCCTAAAGGGAGGGATGCCTTTCGTGGAGGACTTTCTAAGGGAAACTGGCTCGTATACACGTTACACATGGGGAAAACACGCCCATGCAGCCAGCCCGTTCGCGGGATTCGAACCTCAGACCGAACTACCAGTGTTCAGCGTCTTTACCGCTCGGCCGCTGGTGGCCCTCCGAAAGAGGAGAAAGTAAGCCGAAATGGTGAGGAAACTATGGTTTAGAAAGAGCCAGCGGTTCTGATAACTGCAGTTTGGATATCTATATTCGAATAATTGGATTTTTTATTGTATCATGTTTATCATTGTACTTCATTTTATATGTATTTAAAAGGCATTGGTACTGCAACTAACTTTAACTGTAAGATGCTTTGATACAATAATCAGAGATTTGTTTAAAAACTCATAATTTTTTCCCTCAGAGAGCAGGAACTAAGACGCCATGGAGCATCAAGTACAGGCTCTTTGATCGCCGACCACCCATCTTTGACCAGGACTGTCCGAAGTCGCTTATCTCAAGCATTCGGCAGGTTTACAGAACCAAGTGTCTCACATTCGAATGCTAACGTAAGTATATACTGGGATTTCATTTTATATTTCTATTCTAAGAATGAGGTGTACGAGCCATGTTTTTAACATTTTCTCTGCGACTGGCGGCTGTTTCGGTTTTATGTCGTTTTGTTTCTATGGTTATTATGTCGTTTTGTTTCTATGGTTCAAGGTGTGAAGATTAAAATTTTATATTATCAGGATATTAATCGATTAATTTAGTTTCCGTTCATTTCAGTGCGAGCCTAAGCATAATTAGGAGATCTTGTCGACGAGAGCAGTATTTGAAAATGTGCAGACACTGTTTTAAGTTATTAGCTGTATATACAGGGTATTTATAAATGAATGGTGCTGTTTTAAAAATGAATAATAAATCGATGTATTACATTACCCGCGTAAAACCTATACCGTAGGCATTGGCAACTGTCCGAGTTTCTCATGCACTACCTGCTGTTTGCTTGTCATGCTTACTGCGCAGCCGCGGCGTCATTTTCCAAGATTTCGCCGTAACAGGAAAAGGCTATCTGTGTGCTTCGTTTTCAGGTGTCCAGATCTGTGGTTTCAGTGTAGCGTGAATTTCATGCACATTTTCTGTGCGGTGTCCCGCGGGAAAGTGCACGGTCATTTTCCTTCGAACAAGAAACTGTGATCGGTGACTCATTTCTAGACATGTTGGAAACCTGATTGTTACCCTTGCTGAACACCAATTATGATGATTACATTTTTCAACTGGACGGTGCTTCGCCCCATTTTCACAGGATTGTACGAGAGCTTCTTAATCGTGTTGTTCACCAACGCTGGCTAGGACGCACTGCAACAATAGACAACAACCTTTTCTCATGGCCATCCCGTTCGCCGGATTTAACACCTTGCGATTTCTTTCTTTAAGGTTTGGTTAAAGACTAAGTTTATGTGCTTCCAATACCTGTGTCCCTTGACGAAGTTTTTGGTCGGATAAAGCATGCACTGCAGACCGTCACGGTGGACACATGCTACAAGTATAGAAAGAATTTGATTTCCCTGTAGATATGCGTCGTGTGACCAGAGGTGCACATATTGAAGAATAGTAATTAATGCATAAAAATTTGGACATTTGCTGCTGCTTATGCTGTAAGGTTTCCCCATATAAAGTAACACATCAATTTATGATTAATATTTAAAACCGTACCATTCATTTATAAATACCCTGTATATTGGCGCTGTCTTGATAGAAAATTAGTCTTTTTAGGTTATTCAGGAATGGCAGCAAAATTTCCTTAACGAATCATGTACCATATTGCTATATTACAAAGAGATGTAATTTACGTAACAATACAGCAGGAGGTCGCTACCAAAACTCTCTAGCCGCCCTGATCGATACAGTGATTAGTACTCCTAGCTGCTGTATCTTTGGGTCATGTTCGAAGTCATGGATGTTTATAAGTGTATAGTTTTTGTGCGGCATGGGAACACTCAAAATGCACATCCAGCCAAAAATCCTCTCGTGAGGTTTGGTAGTATGAGAAGAGTGTGGAAGAACTACGGGAAGTCTCCATCAAACGCAGGGCGGAGCTAGATTTTGATGGATACCACCCAAGCCCGTATTACACCTGTATAACCGATCGTTAATTTCTGGTGTCCCGCCCCACTTGTATCCTTCAAAGCTCTTTCTATAACTTTCAAGAACTTACTTTCTAACATACACATATCTCATTTACATCTTATAGCATTCGTCAGTTGTCAACACCCAGATAGAAACGAGTTTCATCAATGAAGACAACGAGAAAACATTGATCCATTCATATTTTCTAATTCGTATGACACAGGTGTGTCAGAAAGCCAAAAGAGTTCTGCGATGGCTTGCAGCGAATAGCAGTCATAATGATTGCCTGCTGGCCAAATTTTTCTTCTGTAGCCTTCGATTTACAATGCGGATCGTCACACTACGTCTGTGATCATTGACACAGGACATCAAATATTGTCTTCATTGCTTTGCAGTGACGACTGAGTATGGCAAATAATGCTCTGCAACTCTTGCAGACGTCAATCAAGTTACACTGCTGCCTTGCGATTGATAGAAAAAAAATTATTTTGCCGTTGATATCAACTGCGTGCAACATCTTGTGCATGTCGTAACATATTCGCAATGATATGGCAAGTAATTTATAGGTTTCCTTACAGGTCTCAATTCCGCCTTTCAGAAAAGCATCTGCATTTTATGTACTTGTCATTTTCGACCTTCGCTAAACTGTTTCTAAGCACAGTTAACAAATTAAATAAAACTAGGAGTTTCTCACCTACAAAAAACCCATTACCATCTTTGATACTTCTCTCTTCTTTATCTTATCGAACGTCTGATGAAAAATTTGCGTTAAGCGCATCCGTTCTATAATGTTTTTTTCACATTTTTGAAACAAACAAGAAAAACGTTTGCAGTAAGCTGAAAAAGCAGAGAGAAGCAAGGAATGAATACGACATGTCTTAATGTCTTAAATAAAAACCCGGTTTAGAAGAAATCAGTTTTGATCTAGTTTCATTTTGATAGGGGGTTCGACTTTTAATTAGCAGAATTTAAAAATATTCGTGGCTATAGCGTTATATATGTATGCATCATTAACATCATGTAAGAATCATATGACATATGTGCATGAGTGGAGAAGATAATTAATATTTAAATAAAAATTCTAATTTTGATTTGCAATAATCCCTTAACTCTTCATTTTAATTTCATTATTTCTCCTTTCCGTCCTGAAAATAGTAACTGCTTATAACAAATCTCTCTAAATTGTGTCATTTCATAATTAATCCATGTTGTGTGATTCTTGTATAACACTTATCTCGCAGATACTTATGTAACGCTACAGCTAAAAACGACTTCAAAATTGTCAGTGATTTAATTTTAACAGTGAGGAGAAATCTGAACTGGAAAAGTAAATCATCCTGAACGAGGATTTCATCTTGGACGCGTCTCATTCTCTCTGTCTCGCTTCGCTGCAAGTTATTTCGCTCTCGCTACTGTTATACAGGGTGGGCTACGAAAATGCTGTCATAAAGGTCGGCAGAGTGAGGGCATAAGGGCCCCAACCTTTGCCCTCACTCTGCCTACTGTACGGATGTCTTAGGACTTGGCGTCACCTATTAACTCATTGTTCCAGATTTAGTTTCTTCATTCTGGCTGTGTACCTTGCGTCAGAAATGTGGTGTCCATCTTTTCATATTATCGCCTAAAACCGGGTACGTTTTCGTGGTCCACCCAGTACATATATGGAAATCGTAGTTCCTTACTTTGTGTACATTGTTTGAGACAACAGCAAGACAGAAATTGACTAGTCTCTTACAACGCATGAAATAAAAAAGATGGAGAGAATTAAAAAAAAATATTTTAGTTATGAAGATGGTCAAACGTTATAAAGAATTGTTAAGACTTTAATTTTTTTTTTTTTTTTTGCATTGTTTATGTAATGGAAATTTCAACCGTATTAACAAGTTTTAAAATCTAAATAGGAAGTTTACATACATTAGCATTTTGTTTTTATCAATCTGTTTTAACCGAAAATTTTCTAAAAGAGGAATATTCTTTAAAAGAAGGCCTTTTTTTAAATACCTTATAAGATATTTCTCCCGCCTTCCTAGCGTGTCTTCGTGGTGTAGTGGTTCTGCACGCTGGCCCTGTATTACAAAGGTCTGTGGTTCGATCCCCAGCGAAGGCGATTGCTCATTTTTCATCTTGCATGCTTCCAAAAAGTACCTACTGTCTCTACAACCTTTACATACTAATCCTCAATCGCGCGTTCACTATAGAAGAATCCAAAAAACTAGCTGTTCTTATAATCATGTATGCTAAAAATGATTGGATTCCAGAAAGTTTTGATAATCCTTATTAAAAATTGGCTAACCAGCGCTTTTGTAAAATTATAATTTACGAGCTTGTTCTACTCTGACGGCTTTAGTCTATTAACAATAACAGGCGGAGCATTAGGATTTACGCAATGTGTATTTCTCTGTATTGTCAAGGAATAATCGTATTATAATTAAGATTGATTTCGATTGCACTGGAAGAAGATTTTCATTGATAAATAAGATTTTCAATAGACGTCTTCGGCCAAAAAAAGCTTTGATGAATCACTAAAAATTACCCTTTTTTAAAATCTGAAAATGAATGTGAAGAAGACAAAGTGATCGATCATGTACAAAATTGCTTTTTGTCTTGCTATCAGACATGCCGTTCTGTTTATGCCGATTCACTTAAGTGACTGATCTCTTTTGTTCTTTTAAGTTATGATATTGTGTTTGGTTCAAGAGCTGCATTCGAAGTAGAGTAATAATTATACTAACTGCTTAACCACTGAGAACTTTTTGTGTATTGCGCTCCAATTTATACTTTATAGGAGTAATGTAGTGATATCATTCTCCATGTTTTGATTGATGAATCTAGCATTAGCTTTGAGCTAGCACTTTCTTTTTCAACTATGCAGAAAATGAAACGAAAAGAGCTTTCTTATTATGATATCATGATATGGGATAATATCATGGTTTTGATGATTGATATAATACACCTTTCTTAATAAGCTCTTACGTTTTTAATATTAATTTAAACTTTTAAACATATAAATTCATAGTTTGATTTTTTTTCTGAATTTTCATTACTTCACCCTCTTTGCTCTTATCTGAAATTATCTCCTTATGTACATTTCCCTGCCTTTCATATATTTTTTTTTATTCAAGAGTCTCTTGAAATTAGTTGCTTTAAGTTTCAGTCGACTACAGAACAAAAGCTTCTAACCGGAGGTTAGGAAAAGTGTAATTTCAAGACATTCGATAAAGAAGGATTTCTATTCTTGATTGATAAGTAATTAAGGTAAGAGTCAATGTACTTTACTTATATTAATAACTCCAGTGGTGTGATATCAGTGTACTAGAGGAATTAATCTAGCTCTCTAACACTTTAATTAATGAATAAATATATAAATATTTACTTTATAAGGTATTTTTCCCTCCATTTAAAAGGTATTTTTTTTCTTCGTGGTGTAACGGTTAGCTCACTCGACGCGTATTCGGGATGTCCAGGGTTCGAGTCCCGACAAGGACATTGCATATTTTTCACGTCTCCAGTTTCAGAAAAATCCTAATGACTCTACAATCCAATATTAAAAGGAACTTGATTATATCTCTGTTGAGAACGTGTTTCGAATTTGATCGAATTTTCTCGCAAATCGGATGTACTTAACATCATATGCTATTCTCTCAAATCGTGTTGTGTCGGCTCTACAAGAAACTTTGGTACTTTCATCCGTATCCTGGCTTACGGCAGGAGGTATTGTTTTCCTGGTAATACCATTACCTTAGAGATTCCTGTTTAGAGCCTGACCTTTGTGAAATCCGCAATTAAATTTATTCTCTAGATGATGACTGGAAAAAGTTTGAAGCACTTTGCCGATTGAAAGCAGACCAACAGACTTGAAGCTCTACTAGAGAAAAAGAACCGGTTAGCTTTCTGTTTCCATAGCCAGTTTATATACTGTCAACATCTAATCGCAGGTTACAAAAAGTTTTCATTATCGTTTAATTCTTTAAAGCAGAAATGAACGTAGCTTTTAGTAATATAGTTTAATTCATGTTCATTAACGTGTTCTTGAGCTCAATGAAAGAAACTGAATTAAAATATATTGATGTTGTCATTTCGAGCGGAAATTTTGGAGAAGAATGAGTTTCCATGGGTAAACAAGTTACGAAGCCAGTTTATGACAACGCGCTGAATATCTGTCACTGTCAGAAACTTGTGGTCTTCATAGTGTATTTACCATATTCTTTGGGATATTATGTTTTCAAAATCAGCAAAAAGGTAATTACAGGAGATAGATCTACCGCATATGCTGTCATTTATAGAAACATGGAACTTTCTATCAGTCATTCCTAAGCAAATTATTGTAGTATTACAAAATGATTAACGAAATGCAAACCGAGTAGTAATCTATTTTATTGGCTTTTTTTTTTTTTTTTTTTTTTTTAGATAGAAATGTTTTAATTAATTATTTAAATTATTTATTTTTATGACATCCATCAGGTTAAAGAAGTACTTGTTTATTGTGAGATAATCATTTTACCCTCCTCTCATCCTTTGATTTTCAGAAATTTATCAGAATGTGCTATGCACTACTGTATTTATTCACTGGGCTTCGTATTCGAACTATGGGAAAACTCAGTGTCGTAACGACCACGCTTGGAAATGGCTTAGTTGTTTCTGAGGGATACAAATTGTTAACGAACCTCACCTCTATAAAACGACCACGTATACTGAAAGCCAAAATCAACTGGAAACCTTAGATTACAATTTTTCTTTAAATTTTGTCCCCTTTGGTGAATACCATGTCTCTCCACTAGATATTACTTTTGTTCGGGTGGGAACGCAAACGTGTCCTTGCTTTGTTAAACTAAAGAAAAAGAGAAGACCCAGTAATGTTGTTAAGTAAAAAAAAAAAAAAAAAATTATGAACAGCTTTCTGCGAAATTGTATTAGAATTTAATAACATAAATGTACTTTTTAAGTTGAGTCTGTTGATGAAAAGCTTTGTAAATTACAAAAACCTTTTCCTAAATGTGAGTTTTCAATAATATTTATTCCACAAGAATTTAAACTAATAAAAGTCTGAGTTCTTTTTTAAATGCGAGTAATAACAATTTTCATTTCTAATATTTTTAGGTCTTTTTTGATTGTACAGCATGATTTTCTGTATCTTTCTTCAAATTTCTTCCATTAACAGTACAAAATAACTTATTAAGTGCCAAATGTGGTTCATGTCAAGACGCCCTAAACTCACTGGGTAGGATGGACTTATTTTCTCCTCCTACACCATTAGTAAGCTCATATGCCGAAAAAAGGATATATATCAAGATTCTATCTGCTTTGCGTCGTGAGATAGCTCTCTGCGAGTGTCTTATTTTCTCAGAATTACGTGAAATATTTCCCAAATGCGTGATCTAATGTCTGTCCTGATGAATTAAAGAAACCACATGGAGGCTCTGGCAATTTCTTTTCGTTCTGTCAGGTTGTAAATAACGCGCTTATTTAACCAGCCACAAATCACTCTCTAATCCCTAGAGAATCCTACGTATCATTCTTCCCAATGCTTTGGCATCCATCATCATTTTGTGTCGCGGTCCTCTCTATGGACTGCTGTTCCCTGATGATGCGTCCTGAAGTTGGGTATGGGGAAATTGCTGTCCATGTTTTTGGAAGAATGTGGTATCTTCTTCCATGCTGCATTCTTAGATTATTTTGCTCCTGTTACAAGCGTTCCAAAAAGGTATATTCTTTTGATCATTAGTATTTTCCGTTTTATATTACATTAATTATATTTCTTGATGCAATTGCATAAAAGTTTCATATTAGCTAACTCTGCTAAAAATAGAATAAAGAATATTCTAACAAAATGTAAACTATGAAATCGCCACAAAGATTAACTGCAGAAATCGAGGTCTCTAATGGTACATATATAATTATGATATTAAAAAGGCTTCTACTTTACATTCGATACTTTCCTGTGTGATGACCATGGTATGGAAACATTTAATAAATTGAAATTTACATGAGTGTCACTCATGTATGGTATTTGTCTTTATGAGAGCCTGGTATGTCTCTTTAGATGTAGGATATTTAGCATTAAAACTACCGAAAATTAACGTACGCTTAAATTTCTAGCAATTATATGTAGTTTTTATTTTTAATCAACCGCATATAAAAACACATATCAAATGCATTAAAGAAGGGGAAACTTTGTCTCAAAGCAGCTACTTTGCAATTAATGATTTTAGCTGAGTGTTGATGGTATGTTAGTTAACAGAAGGAGAGTTTCATGGAAAATATCATCATAGACTTTTAAAAACAGAACCTTAATTCTAGTTTTGCAATGAACAAAAATGTAATATTCTTTTAGATAATGTAGACAAAAGCTTTCGTAAATAAAAATATGAAGGAACTAAGTATAGCATTTAGCTATGCAATTATTATGTGGATATTAAAGCACGAGATCTTTGCAAGAATACTTTTAAAAATACAAGTTTTTTTCCATTTTATTACATTTAGTATTCTGCTAAAGGATCTGTTAAAATGTTATAGAGTCCTTAGGGTTTTTGAAGCAGGAGACGTGAAAAATGTACAGTGGCCCCGCCGGAGCTCGAACGCTGAACCTCTCGAATACGCATCGAGTATCCTTCCAATTACACCACGAAGGCATGCAGAAAGAAGGGAGAAAATAATCTTATGAAGTAAATTTATCCTCTAATCATATTAAATTAATTTTTAAAATGTGAGTTATGCTGAAACTTTATTTCTTGAAATTTCAAGATGTAAGCATGTAGTCCGATATTAATAAATACGCACGTTTTTAACGCACTACGTTTTAATGATTATGTTTTAGCAGGTTTAAATTCGTTAAGGATTATTTGCCATATAAGTACTTTCTCCAAATATAGTGAAATCTCGGTTCACGAATTTAATAGTTACGGAATATCGTTCGCCAACCGAATATTTGCAAACCGAAACAATTTTCCCATAGGAATTAGTATAAAATGGAAGTTCGTTTCTGAATCATAGATGATTGCTTATGTAAACTGTACAAGAATACTTTGTGTGCAGTGTCATAACCTCAAACCAATAATGGAAACCATTAAATATGAAACAAAAAAGATAAACACGATATTAAACAGATAAAATAAACGGCATCTTAATTTAATTGTACTATATCTATAAAAAGAGAGTGGACAACACAGGTGGAAAATGGTGAGGAAGATGTAACTGTTTGGATTAGGCGCTCCCTTTCATTAAAACGGTAGGTTTAATGAATAAGGTAAAAGCTGTCTTTAAGAAACATCTTTTACCTTTTCTTTGTCTCTAAACGCAACTCTGTTTGAGACTTACAAGGCCTCTGTTTCAATAAAAATTTGCCCAATGGGATTTGTTATCAGCATTTTAAAATATTTCTAAAATGAAGCATGGCATTGTCACTGAAAATGCTTATGCTGTTAACTTGCTGCTTCTTTACTCTATTTTGCATGATTTTCGCAGATAATAGAACAAGGAATATTTTTCTTTCTTCATTTCCTTTCGAAGATATTGCTTCGTATCGCCCTTTGTTTTTGCTTCCGAAGTTGTTGCAGTTCTTTCATGTTGAGGTCATTTTTATGATCCTCTAGTAACTTCTCCACGTGTTCATTGTTAACTTCCTAGCCCATAGTTAATAGTAAGCATAGTTCATTGTTAACTTCCTAGCCCATAGTAAGTTCCTAGTCCATAGTTTTACCTAATATTAGTTTTACCAAGTCCATAGTTTTACCAAATACAATTCAGACACAATATAGTAAATAATAATAATAATAATAATAATAATAATAAATTATAAGTGTCAAAGCGCTCAGAGTCTGTGCTTGTAACCCAATCGAGCCATAATTTCCTCTCTGCTGAAGTCGTGATCCTATAAGTCACTTGTTATTAGCCTTTGTTTATGAGATTTGACTTTTATTTCGTGAATCGAATTGTTCGTAAAATGAGGCGTTTATGATACAGAGTTCCATTTATCTGTCATTCGAAAGGATTTATCTGAACGGTAGCCTGTTTTTCCCTCTTCCGGGTCAGCTAAATTGTGGCTTAGCGCCACCATGCCATAATATGTTAGCAAATACTTAGGTACATATTCTGACATAATAAACTACAGTTATTTCAGACTCATAATATTAAAAATAAATCATAAACAGTCTTGCAGATAAGGCATCACCGAGAACAATTACACACACACAAAAACAAAAACAAAAAAAAAATCAAAATTTAACTTGAAATATACTTTTCAGAAAAAATATTTCTATCCTTACTTTTTGTAAATAAAAATGCAATATAAGTTAGTAAGAACATTGCGGCCGATTATACAGAGGAAACACCAAGTCTGCATTCATTGATGTTGTGGGTTTGTAACTTCATTGATGTTGTGGGTCTTAGAGATGGTTAAAAACATGAAAATATGCACACATTTTGAAATTTATATTTAATAATAATGAATTCTGTTAATTCAGCCGCGGATAATCAATTGGCTGTCATTGATTACCTTCTTAAAACTGAAAAGCACGCGCATTTATTCATTCTAGACAATTTTTAAGCAGTGGCCATAACTGTTTCCACATAGCTTACAAATTGGCCCGGTGACATATTGCAGTGTCAACATTCCGTATCTTCACTATTAATTACAAGCCAGACATCTTTATGAATCTTATTAGATTAACTGTACACCCGGACTGTTTCTATCATTAATGAGAAGCTCTTTGCTATCTTTTCCTTATTTATTTGCTTTCATTTCATTGGAAGCATATGGACTAAAGCTCCAATTTCATTTCTGATAAAAGACCCTTTCAAAGCTTCCCCACTCCTCGACCGTGTGTACTGTTCGGAGATCGTTTTGAAACTCAGTAAACGTCATTGTCTGAAATGATTTCTTTTTTGTTTCTTGTTTCATTTAGGGTAGGGAATATTAGGTGATCTGAATGGGCAGTGAAAGCTTTTTTATCGAGGAGATTATTTTTAGCATTGTGTGACGTCTGTCGAAGAGCTGGAACAACATTGGTGACGCTTTAAAGGTCAATGTAGTTTGTTAGTCAGTTTTGTAAACTGCAGCCTTTTTGTTTCTGTATAGTCTTTGTAACAGTGTTTAAAGCAGGCTTTGACTGCTAAGTATTTTGCAGTTTGTTTTTGGTGAGTCGGATGAAGTGGTTTTTGTGATTATCTTGCTTTTCGAAGTATACATTTCTTGATGGACCAAGATGAAGAGGTAATTCTTATATGACATTTTATGAACTTAAATGTGATTTCTCGCTCGTGTTGTAGTGATTCTGGGACTTCGAGTCCTCATGTCCCAGAATCATGTCCCTTAAAAGAGATCCGAGATTCGAAAACTCGAATCATTGTGCACATTTTTTTCCGCCATTTGTTTCGCCAAATTTAAAAACTCCAAACTTTGGGAAAATGTAATAGAATAGATGGACATGTAATAGAAGTAAAAATTTTATTTTAGTTACTTTTTGTTAACATTATTTCGTTTCTGTTTTATGAAGCTGATGGTGGTCTATAATTTCTCATTCTATCCATCTCTTGTAATGTTTCATTATTGCAAGGAACCTTTCCAGTGAGTTTCGAGTAGTCCAGTTCTTCAATTAATATTTCATCTAATGATTTCACACGACTCAAGGCGACATATGCTTGGCACATATTACTTACTTGTGACAAGTAATATAAAAAAAAAATAATTTTTTTAATTGTACATTTTTTTTAATTAATTTTTTTATTGTAAAAAAATGTATTTGAACTTGAGTGGATGAATAAAAAGAATTTTACGAACGACTGATAATTTGAACAAGATATAGGGCGAGTGCAGGAATTAAAAAAAATGCGATTTTTGCAGTTTCATAAATCTGAATCAGCATTATCACTTCGCGGTGACTATCTCATCCGTATTCTCAATTTTCTAGAGAAACAGTTACATGTTTAGTGCTTATGTAAATTCTTGAAATAATCATTTCCTTTTTGCTGTTGCTTTAATTTAAAAAGATTTGGGGAAAATATTAAAGATCTGAACTGTTTGTTACTCAAATTATTTTATCAAATTCTATTGAGGAAATGAAAGTTAAATTCATTTATAACTTTAATTATGTATTTCGTTTACATTTCAGTCATTTATACGTCCA